TCTCCCATGCTAGGTAGACGTAACAATTTCTTAACTAGCGCATCTGCAAGTACATGCGGCTTCCCAAATTTCTCGCGCAATGTTTCCTTTGCCACTCAACAACCATCAGAAACTGGTAACGCGCAGCACCCAACCGCTTCTCTTGCCTTTCCTGTGCGGTGCTGCCCATGGATCAGTAGTTTTAGCCACCTAGAGTCGTCAGGGTAGTCCTGTTCAAATAAGTTTTAAAGTTATGAATAAATGTCACATGTCTGAGTGGATCTCCCTCAAACTTGAGGTACGCGACTTTTGGCGAGTTAACTACTTGCCTCAGTCCTTTCACTATTACCTTTCCACTGTCAAAATGCTGGGCCTGCTACACCAGGGTTGTGTCCCATGACACATCTGCCAAGCGAAAGACCACGTTCCCTAACTGGCTGTCCATACAATGCATGTGAAGACCTATATTGGATACTACAGAGTAAACAAACAAAGGTTTCGAATCCCTACTTGGAAAGCAGGCAGTAGTGTGCTGCAATTCTTAGGACTGAACCACAGGTACAGTTTACGAGCTCGTGACTCTGCTACTTGCAAGTGTGACCGGTGATGTAATAACACCACTCGTTCCAGAGGCAGGGTTATCTAGTAAGGACATAATTTAAGCTGTTTGTCTTGACGGATGAGAGATTGGTTGCGAAGTTGTATAACCATTTGGCTCAACTGAGTAGCACGATGAGGCAAGAACGACAAGGGTGTCTGGTTTGGGCTGTGGCACAAATGATACAGGCACTCTTTCATTCAAATAATCAGTCGTAGACAAAGACGAAATGGCAGGAACTTTCGGTTTGAAAGGTGGTGTTCGATCCATTGTAAAGGGCTCTAAAGTACCTCTTTGTTCTACCACGCCTTGCGACTCAGGTGGTTGCCAGTGACCAATTACCAACTCAACGTATTTTCTTTCTTCTCCCATTTCTTCTTCTTCATAAGTTTGCAGTGACTCTTCAGCCCTTTCAGCCTCCATTTCGGCTTCCATTAACTCTGTTTTCCTTTGAAATTCTTGTTTTTCTTCGTTCATTCGTAGGTGAACTTTCAATTGGTGGATCATCCGCTTAAGGGTATTAAGCTGGGCGAAAGCCAGAACTTCCTATTTTTCGAGACACCATACGCGATGATGACTTTGAACTTGATTCGGAAGCTTTACTGCCCAAACATTTGGGTCCTACGCTGGAAATACACTGTTGTTTTGATGCACGGGTCACCACCATTTAACCGCGGAAAAGGAATTTTTGCTCCATTGCTCCTTACAAACTTTCTGAGCCTTTTCCAACGCCCAGGCGTCAACACCAGCAAACAATTCAATAAATTGCAATATCTATCAAGCGCATCGATAAATTTATGAACCCGTCGTTGAGATTTTCCATTTCCTTTGAGATTTCGTCTTGGATGCCGCCGTCTTCCATCAAACGGGTAATCCCGTTGTATATTGGGGTCAGATTTCCAACACATACTCTTATGGAACAAGTCAAACCTCCAAACTCGTCTGCTAATTCGTAGAACTCGAAAACTATTGCGCAGTGTGCAGAACAACTTAAGGGTAGGACCCGAAAGCGAAAAGTCAACCATTTATTTACAGTCACTCCTTTGAAAATTCCACAAACGTTCCAATAACCAAGCCGACAAAACATCCAGGTAAGCAGGCAGGTTTTCTACGAATGAAGTTACACTTTCAGTGAGCAAAATTACGATACGCACCACATACGATAGAACTTATCGACTGTTTCGAATTCTGAGTGTCCATAACTGAACAATTTTGGTTGGCAAATTATGCCATCACAAAAATGGCGACTAGTTCTTCTTCGACAAAGCACACGGCCGATGTCCCGCACGTTGATGTCAAATGTAGGCACGCAATAGGAGCTACACTTTGGTATACGTGAATGTCCTTAAATGTATCTCGTGTCTTCGATTGGTGTAAGTTATTTTCTTTAGCATAGTTCAGTGCGGCTAGCTCACTTACAAATCATATAATAATGATCACTGAATGGTCGAAACATGGCATGCATAAAATTTAAAGGGACCGTCGGTTTTTTCCCTTTTGAACTGAAGATGTTCCGGGAAAAAGTGTTCAGTGGAAAAGTGGTATGCTTTGGTTCGAGCACTTCGTCATCTAGATAACCAGCCTAATATTTGAATCGTTCGACATTTACAAAGAAATATCTTAGAAAGTTTGAAAGAGCCCTCCGACAGAAATTCTGTGAAAAATACTCCAACTGCTAGGCTTGTACCCACGAGATAGTTTCTTAATTCCATGTAACTTTTTATTTCCTCCTTTTTTTCCCTCATGATATTTTTCTGACATCTTGAAAGTTGTGTATGCTGAGTTTTGTGATGAAAGTTTGTTGCCAAGGTTTTACGGTTTTACGATGATGGTTTGTAAAAGCTGGTAATGTACATGTACAATACCGTACATGTTAAATGTTCTTTATTTACCATCTGCTTCAGCAAAATGTTGTGCAAAAAAAAACATAACATTTAAATGATGATGTACACACTCTTGTATTTTTGTTTAGTATTGTAAAATAAATGTAACTACGATGAGTGATACTAAACAGTTATTCGCAGAAGGCGAGGTGAATATCGTCGAATAATCCCCGTGACGAAGTCGAGGGGATTATCCGGCAATATTCACCAAACTTTAGGCGAATAATTGTTTTAGTATAATTTCAGAGCTGTACAACAGAGAAATTTCTAAAATCATAACATATTTAGCAACATTTATTAACATTTTATTTCAACATTTTATATGAACCGCATAGAGCGGTTTATATAACGTCATATAAGGAACCGTTCGACCAATCAGATTGCTGGAAACTCTTTGCTCAGCTCTGAAATTATACTAATAATGAATACTCTTTTCTTCCTATTGTTCATTCGAAAAATACCAACGTTAGTTCACGTTAATGGTTGACCATTTCAAATATTATATGATTATATGAAGGTGCAATTGATTGTGCGTCTTTATGCAAATTGTATTATTGTATGTCTCTAATACGCCATTGATTGTCATAGTAGAAAACCGATTTTCTATTGGTATTAATGATTAACCATTGCGTGAGATTGAAAGCATATCTGTTATCTTTGATTGTCCAGCGGTACAATTAAGAATTGTTTTATGCTTAGCGTGCGTATATCGAGTTATGGATGCACGCCGGGAGTTTGGAGAGCACGAGAGAAGCGTAAGAGTTGCTCGAGGCGCAGCCTCGAGCAACCCTAGCTTCTTGAGTGCTCTCCAAACTTCCCAAGTGCATCCATAACTCGATATACGCACAGCTAAAAGCATGAAACAATTCTTTTATAACATACGACAACAATTTGGGCGCTGAAAGACGTTTTATTTTTTGGATTGATTACAAAGTTCTCACAATGCAGTACAAAGGCGTTCATTGGCTGGTTATAAACACGCCACAATTACTTTAGCGACAGTTGAACGGAACGCTTCATCTAATTTCTAAAATTGTCAATGAAAAAGTCGTTTCTTCGAAAGAGAGTGAACTTTTTTAAACAAGGTCAAAATCCTCGATGAAAATGTAACCAAACAAAGTCAAAGTACACAAGTTTTGGTAAACAAGCTTGGTTGGTAAAAGTCAAAGACCAGAAGTAGCGGGAATTGCATTTTTGAAAACGATGCTCACATTGCCTTGTACGGTGCAATTATTGCCGAAGACGGACTCCAGGAAATTTGCGTTCTTGTCGTGAGCCACCACCACACTGTTATTTTGACGGACAGTAGTACTGGTGAAAGAGGACTCGGTTTTGTCGTCGACAAGGCTGTTTGACAGGACCTCACTGCAACTGCGAAGCTGGGATGTGGATGGGTGCGTGTTGTAATGAGCAAAGCTTTGCTCATTTCTGTGACCGGAGATCGCCATGATGTGCCTTTTTGGAATTCCTGCGTTAGACCACAAAGTTATGGCTCTCGCCCTGACACTGTGGTTGGTGTAGAGCTTCGACAAGGATGCTGCTTCGCTTATGTTTTTCATCATGGAGTCAAGCGAGTTAACTCCGACTAGACGCGCTTCGTACCAGATGCATTCAGATATCTTTCAATGCCGTGACGAAAACCAAATAGTGTAGATTTGCTGTACACATCTCCGGATTTATTTCTGGCCTCTGCGTAGAATCTGCGAAGGTTTGTAGTTGGCCAGGCGACATTTGTTCTAGCGGTGTCTGTATTTTTTTCTCGTTACACCAAGCTAAATTAAGGAAGGAAATAATGGTAATACCATTTAGCTTATAGACAATGCGTGACTGCTGTTTTTAATTAACCATGTTACGTTGTTGCTGTAATGTTTTTTGAAATGAAAGTTGCCCGAAAATGTTGGCGTCTCCGATTGTTTTGTTGATTTCGTAATTAAATGGTTTTCGGTAGAATTAACAAATGTAACCAAAAAAACGTCATCAACAGAGACATTTACCTTTAAAAGCCGCCACAAACCAATTTGTAGTCTTCTTAGTTCTTGCTGAATGTCTTTCAGCTAAAATTTGCTCCAGCTCCTGTTCTGATAAATTCGGGAAACAGGCCTGTTGTGTTTCGCTTTCTTTTAGTGCTTGTTAGCTTGATTACTTGCGGGAAGGTCGAAAGCCAAAGAAAAGTTTTGTTGGCCTTCGATTTACTATTATCGCTTTCCGAAACTTTAACTTGAGGAACTCACACGACGGAAATTTTGCAGCTATTTTGAAACTGCACACGTCATTTTATTGAGCACGGCCGTGCGTACAAAATGATTTTGTTCATGTTGACGCAATAGGAATTAGATTGGACTAGCGCGCGCGCTATGTTATAAAAATATATATTTTGCACAAATGAACAGCAAAAGGTGTATATGGCAGTTCACGGAGAGCCTTACTTGTTTTTAAATTACGGTTGAATGAAAGTTTATCGTAGTTAGGTTTTTGGCACACATGGGTCAAACTGCTTGTTTCATCCTACCCAGTTAATATTTCTCTTTTCCTGTGTAAAGCGTGTTCAACGCCAATGGGTATGGAGAACGGACAGATAAGGGACACTCAGATCACTGCCTCTTCAGAATTTCTTAGGAACCATGCCGCAGTCCAGGGAAGGTTGAACTTCAAGGCCGGTGGCGGCAAAACAGGGTCATGGTCAGCAAATATAAATAATGGATACCAATGGCTTCAGGTGGATCTTGGTAGGTACAAGGTTGTGACAGGGATAGCTACACAAGGACGAAATGCTGTACCCCAGTGGGTCACCTTATATGAGCTTCAGTACAGCGAGGATGAAGTTACCTTTGTTTATTATAAAGAACCAGGGCAGAGCTCACCTAAGGTAAACTGAATAAAGTAACTATAATTGATAAGAGAGGTTGTCAGGTAAAATCAAACATTCACCGGCAACAGTACTGGTCAAAAAATCGAGTTCACTCATATTCTAGGATTAGTTAGGCCTGTAGGTAAAACAAACCAAGACATATATAGTTTGTTGAAAAATTCTTTAGTTTTCGAGAAAATTGATAAAACTCAATTTACGCATAATTAGCTTCATTCGACGGTCGAGTTTAGCCCATTTTTGGAGGCCTCGTTTGTACTTGTAAAAGCATTAAAAAACTTAGTTACTCCACAGACTTTTAGAACAATATCTCCACTATGTTTTCACAAAAAAGTACAATCTCTATTTAAATTTCAAATAAAATACAGATTTTTCTATCTATTTTCTTAAGTGCCCTGTGAAAAGTAGGGTAGCTTCAAAACATTTTTTTTAGCTGTGCTAAGTGAAATAAACGTTTAATATTTGAGATACGAGAAGTAGAAATGATAAACGTACCGTTTGTAGAGTTATTTTTCTGGGGTTTTTGTGCTACTATGCATACGAGGGCTTTAAATTCATAGAAATTTCGCTCTTCGGCGAACTCGGCGACATGAAAGAAAAGACCGACTTTGTTTATCATTTGCCGTCAGTGGTAATAATGAGTGCTTGAATAATGTAAATAACGTCTTCAAAGTACTTGGAACACGATAGAAGTTGTTTTTGTTTTCTCCGAAAGCATTCTTTTCGTAGAAATGGGTAGACATGGTTGTCACTGCGAGACTTATGTGTCACGCAATTGTACGATCTATATTCCTATTAAGCAAGTGGTTTGAAATTTCTTAACTCGAGTAGTTGCAGGAAATTTTTTACATGAAATCCAAATAAGAGGAATGAGAGGTTTTTTGTTTGGATAAAAATTCATACTTTTTTGAGGTTTTTTACTACTAAAGGCAATTAGCAATAGAACTTAATTTCACAGTAAATTTCATCTGATAAAACTTAGTGCACAACAAGTAAACAACTGATCTGTGTTTAAATATTTTGAAGAATGGAAATTTGTTGTTCATTGAAATCTCTTGTTGTGGATGATTGTGGCTACAATCCAAAAGACAGAAAAGGGGATAGGCGAACAGTGCCCTTGCTGTTGCGTGACAAGGAAATAGAAGGGCATTTGGCTCATTTTTCATTCACTGGTGTGTTCATCGAGTTTGACTTAATATTGAGTACAGCAGCTGTTTTCCAAAGACCCAACGATGTTGATACATGGACAATATGCCCACTTCATCGCTGAAGACCTCGTCTTGGATAGACTCCAGGGGTAAATACTAAATACAGAGTGCCAGCTAATATTTCCAGGCATAAAGCGAAGAAGCTTCTCAAAGCAGACAGAGGGTTAGGGAAAGAGGATTCTCAGTTAATTTCCACCAAACAAGGTATCTTATTCCGGTTGGTTCAGATAATTATTCTATTTGCTTGCGATCGAGTTTAATTCCAGTTTTATTGTTGTTGTACTTCTTGATGGCATGCGGACTGAAAATCAGTTTTGAGTGTTTATCAACAGTTAACGATTGCGTCACCAAGTTGTATTTATTCTATAGACTCCACACTTCTAGACACGCCCCGCATTTAATATCAGCCAGGTGAGGAGAGTTGTATCACCATTAAGACCTGTTTCCAAGTAGGTAGGGTAACCCTAGTGCTAGGGTTACCCTGGCAGGAGGGTTAGCCTAACGCTCCCGCATTTCTTCTTTTTTCATCGACGTGTTTACAAGGTAGCTAGGGTTACCCTAGCACTAGGGTAACCCTACCTGAGCGCTAGGGTTACCCTAGCGCTAGGGTAACCCTAGCTGCCTTGTAAACGCTCTGGTGGGGATAACTCGCCTACCCGGGACAACTTTTTACTTGTTTCCAGACCCTTTGAACATTGATAACAATGCGTGCGGTTACCAAGCATAGGTAAGTTGTCCCGGGTGGTAGGGTAACCCTACCTGTGAAATTTTGCTTGTAAACCCGGGCTATCTTTGACCCGCCTGCTAGGGTAACCCTAGCACAAGGGTTACCCTCCTTGCTTGTAAACAGGGCCTTTCT